GTGTGAACATAGTCGAAGTTTCTTGTTCTCGTTACGCTCGCTTCGATGCCGTCTCATATGATCTTAACGAATTATTCTGCTTCCATAGTATAAATGTTAGTTGATAAAATAGGGGAATACAGTGTGCACCCGTATATTTTCTTCCAAGCCATCTTATACGGTCAGTGCGATCGTTTCTGCTTCAACTGTATGCTTGTCAGATGCTGGAATGCAGAGTTGAATCGTGAACATAATCGAAGTTTCTTGTTCTGCCTGTTATGTGGGTTATACCCGATTCGATGTCGTCTTATATGATCGTTGCGAACTGATATGCTCCGGAAGTATCCATGTGAGATGATAGAATACAGAGATACAGTGTGCAGACTAATGTTGTCGAAGTATCTTCACTCGCCTACTGTTCTCGTTATATGTCCTTCGAAGTCGTCCTATATGGTCAGTGCGAGAGTATCTGCTATGGTAGGTAGGTATGTCAGATGCTAGAATGCGAAGTTACAGTGTTAACATAGTCGAAGTCGAAGTTTCTTGTTCTGCCTGTTGTGTTCGTTATACCTGTTTTGATGTCGTCTCATATGATCGTTGCGAACTGATATGCTTCAGAGGTATCCATATGAGATGATAGAATACAGAGATACAGTGTGCAGACTGATGTTGTCGAAGTGTCTTCACTTGCCTATTGTTCTCATTATATGACCTTCAAAGTCGTCTCATATGGTCAGTGCGATCGTATCTGCTATTGCTGTGGGCATGTCAGATGCTAGGATGCGAAGTTACAGTGTAAACATAGTCACAGTCGAAATTTCTTGTTCTGCCTGTTGTGTGCGTTATACCCGCTTCGATATCGTCTTATATAATCGTTGCGAACTAATATGCTCCAAAGGTATCCATGTGAGATGATAGAATACAGAGATACAGTGTGCAGACTGATGTTGTCGAAGTATCTTCACTTGCCTATTGTTTTCGTTATATGTCCTTCGAAGCCGTCCTATATGGTCATTGCGTTTGTATGCTATAATTGTAGGCATGTCAGATGCTAGAAAGCCAAGTAACAGTGTGAACATAGTCGAAGTCGAAGTTTCTCGTTCTGCCTGTTGTGTGCATTATACCCGTTTTGATGTCGTCTCATATAATCGTTGCGAGCTAATATGCTCCAGAGGTATCCACGTGAGATGATAGAATACAGAGATACGGTTTGCAGACTGATATTGTCGAAATACCTTCACCTTTCAATTGTTCTCGTTGAATGTCCTTCGAAGTCGTCTTATATGGTCATTGCGATCGTGTCTGCTATAATTGAAGGCATGTCAGATGCTAGAATGCCAAGTTACTGTGTAAACGTAGTCGAAGTTTAAGTTTCTTGTTCTGCCTGTTGTGTGCGTTATACCCGTTTTGATGTCGTCTCATATGATCGTTGCGGACTGATATGCTCCAGAGGTATCCATGTGAGATAATAGACAGTGTGCAGACTGATATTGTTGAAGTTTCTCCACTTTGCCAATTGTTCCCGTTATATGTCCTCTGAAGTCATCTTATATGGTCAGTGCAAACGTATCCGCTATAGCTGTAGGCATCTCAGATGCTAGAATTCGAAGTTACAGTGTAAACATAGTCGAATTCGAAGTTTCTTGTTCTGCCTGTTGTGTGCGTTATACCCGTTTTTATGACGTCTCGTATGATCGTTACGAACTGATATGCTCCAGAGGTATCCATGTGAGATGATAGAAAACAGGGATACAGTGTGCAGACTGATGTTGTCGAACTATCCCCACTTGCCTATTTTTCTTGTTATATGCACTTCGGAGTCGTCCTATGTGATCAGTGCGATCGTATCTGCTATAACTGTCGGCATGTTAGAAGCTAGAATGCAGAGTTACAGTGTGAACATAGTCGAAGTGTCTTGTTCTCCTTGTTGTGCGTTACGCTCGCTTCGATCCCATCTTATATGATCTGCACGATTTATTCTGCTTCCATGGTATCCATGTTAGATGATGAAATGAAGGAATACAGTGTGCACTCGTATATTCTCTCCCAAGCCGTCTCATACGGTCAGTGCGATCGTTCCTGCTTCAACTGTAAACTTGTGAACATAGTCGAAACTTCTTGTTCTGCCTGTTGTGTGAGTTATACCTGCTTCGATTTCGTCTTATATGATCGTTGCGAACTGATATGCTTCGAAAGTATCCATGTGAGATGATACAATACAGACTGTTGTAGTCGAAGTATCTCCACTTGCCTATTAATCTCGTTTCATGTCCTTCAAACTCGTCCTATATGGTCAGTGCGATCGTATCTGTTCCAACTGTAGGCATGTCAGATGCTTGAATTCAGAGCCACAGTGTAAACATAGTCGGAGTCGAAGTTTTTTGTTCTGCCTGTTGTGTGCGTTATACTCGCGTCGATGTCGTCTTATATAATCGTTGCGAACTAGTATGCTTCGAAATTATCCATGTGACATGATAGAATACAGTGTGCGGACTGATGTTGTCGAATTATCTTCACTTGCCGATTATTCTCGTTGAATGTCTTCAAAATTGGTCCTATATGGTCAGTGCGATCGTATCTGCTTCAACTATAGGCATGTCAGATGCTAGAATGCGAAATTACAGTGTAAACATAGTCGAAGTCGAAGTTCCTTGTTCTGCATGGTGTGTGCGTTATACCACGGCCACCTACAAAGAAGGCCGGAGTAGTTCATCTGACAACAGTGCACTACGTCATCGCTACCGTGTCGTGAATCAACGCGAATGCACTGGCGGTAGGCATGGATCGAGATCTCCATACTCCGTTTGACAACTATTGAAGAATTTCGAAATATTGATAACAACATTCGGTATATTGTTGCATTATATTTACTTTGTGTAAAATATCAATTCTGTATCGATAATGAGAATGAAACACTGTTTTAAAGAAAATATCATTACTAACTAAATTAATGTTGACATTTTCCGTTTCTTAGATGCACTTATTTGATTCAAATTTTCGTTTTTTACCTTGGTATAATTATTGATCAAGGTAATTGACATTATTTTGAGCATTTCCACAATCATTTTTTGGAATGATAAGCCACAAATACAACTGTCATTATATATCGGAGAAGTAAGCACATTACTAGGTGTAAATAAAACTATGTCAAAGCTTTTTATTGTTAATTGTATTAAAAGTCACTTTTTATTTCCACCGTTCAAAAATTCATTCTCATATTTCTCAGATATTGAATATTGCATGAAATAAAGAACATGTTTTCCTATCAATATCACAGTTTAAGATGGTACAGTTAAATCTTCTCTATTCAGATCATTGAAATATTCACTATCTTTAGAAGGAGTCAAGCTACTTGCAGTGATTATATTGCTACATTATTCACAAAACATTAATTTATTCTTCAATTTGTAGGCAGTGTAACCACATATATATATCAAAGACGGTTCACTGAAATCGATAAAACTTGAACAGTCTTCCTCGAATATTTCTAAAAATGCTTCAACATTCACAACCTTGGGTTTTATGTCAGAATAACGAATGTCAGATGAAGCTTCAAAAGAGAATGTCACACGGCCGTACCTAGCTGAATGTGAGCCTAAAATACTTTTTACTCTCAATTTCGTTTCAGACTCCAAAATTTGAGATAATGAAACATGATAATTTCCTTCTGAGAGTTGCCTGTAACGACTGAATCTCCCTTCCAAATTATCGGTTTGTAGTTTCCCTGGTAGAACATATGATATATTCAAATCAGTCAGTCAGAAAGTACTCAATGAAGTCAATCATAACTGAGATATTTTGACACAGAGCATTGAAAGTATCTGTTGTTAAAAAACCATAACCTAAGTTGAGAGATTTCCACCAGGACAGCCATGTTAAGAAATCTTTGAGATATTCCAATCTCCCATCACATATTTCAGTGAATGGGGCTTCTAAAAAATTTCTATGCGCAATACCTTTGTGAGGACTTTTTATATTCATTATAGTCCACCACTTCAGTATAATAGTCAAAAACTGGAATGTTCCTGATTCTGCTCCGAACTCCTGTTTTACAGACATTATTGTACTTTCATGGAATATGTTTACTACAAGTCTAACTCTTTGGCGTTCAAAGGTTCTTGGAAAAACCGACTTATAATTCAGTTTCGAAGCCGTCTTCAGTAACAAATTTGATTCTTTCTGATGAAGACTTCGAATATCACTAAACTTTGCAATCAGAACTTTGTTTACATCAAATGCTGGAAAAAAAAGACTTGTCAGGGTCTTTTTGATTGATCCAATTATTTCTGATATTTTTGAGTATATGAACACTATCATATGTCAAGAAAGTCTTGAAATAAGCTGATAGAGATTACATAGATTTAGAAATTGAACCTTTTGATAAGTTATCAAACATAACACGATTTACTCTATTATTATTATCAGAAATGATTGTGATAATTTTCAATTTGCTGTTCTCTATCAACTTGCGGATTCTGATGGTTATATCAGTCAATTCTTTACCTGTCACGTTCAGGACAGGAATGAGAGAAACAACTTCTTTGAAATTACCAAAGGCTGAAGACACCATATATGCAATTGCAGCACAAGATGGTTTATTTTCGGCATGACCAAACATGTCACCATTTTAAAAATCAAATTTTTTTTCTACATAAAATTTCATCGATCTGTAAAATCACATATCTCTCTCTTTCATTCAAATGACATACCCTCGACATCAAAAAAATGTAATATGCTGAATAGTTTTCGGATGAGGTAAAGTTAGAATTAAGTTCTATCTCAGCATAGAATAGCAACCTACAGATTGAGTATATATCAGAAATGAATTCAAAATCATGTCTGTTAAATATCTTCTAGAATTCCTGTCTTTGAAAATGAAATTAAATTTTTCAATGATAACATTCAATTTAAACAGAGAACTCTCTTTCTCGTTATCACTTTCAAGTATTTCCTGGAGAGATTTGAAATGATAATTTATATTTTCCAATAAGACTTCTATGTTTGCTTCAGAAATTGCAGTACTCTCAGATTCGAATCTACTAAAGATATTATCTAATTGAGACTACCTAGTTATATGCTCACCCTCAGTCAAAATCCACTTCGAATCTTCATGATGTAAATATGAGTTGTTTTTGTATATTTCGACACTTATGTCAGAGAACACTTTCACACACACCACTTCAATTGGCACATCATGAAAATCAGTTTGATAGAAAATTAGTTTATCAGTACATGAATCCCACTTCCACTTATCAGAATTAACATTCTGATTGTGAAATTTTACAAGAGTGTCAAAATCTTTCACAATATCACTGCATATCCACTGTTGAACTTCCTCCTCCTGCTGCTTGAAATATTGTTCCCTTCGAACATTAGGATCAGTACGTAGAGAAGGTGTTCGTTTACTTAGATATGAATGAAGATTGGGAAATAAAGTTGGAACTGCTCCAGAAACCAGCACAGGTCTTGTTCTATGAAAAGTTTCTTCAATCCCTGCAGCATCTTCATACTTTTTCTCCCTTGAAATTAGATGGGGTTCAGAATGCTCTTCACAAATGGCCGTCCTGTCTCCTGGTTTCCAGTTCTTCCTGGGAATATTTTTCAACCACACTCCTTTTATTGACTCCTCCTTTGGAATTCTGAAAACCGACACTGATTCTGTCTGTGATTTATAGTTACTCTTACATTCAGGTACTGCACAAGTGTCTGGCATTTTCAAACTGGAGAATCAATACAAAACTGAAATGAGTATTGCATAATATGAAGTTATTGTTTCTTACCTTCCATGGCAATAATACACGGATTTCCACGATATATTTCAGTACCAAAATGTGATTTAAAACAGAGTGAAAAATCAAAACACAACAGTCTGCTTTCAATTCACGTGTTTACGTTTATAAATTTCTGTCAATTGTCGAAACTAGATGCTCGACGTGACACGGAACGCGACGTTGCCAGGCATCGCTACTCCGGACTTCTTTGTAGGTGGTTTTACCTGTTTTGATGTCGTCCCATATGATCGTTGCAGACTGATATGCTCCAGAGGTATCCATGTGAGATGATAGAATACAGAGATACAGTGTGCATACTGATGTTGTCGAAGTAACTTCACTTGCCTATTGTTCTCGTTAAAGGTCCTTCGGATCCGTCCTATATGGTCAGTGCGATCGAATCTGTCATAACTGTAGGCATGTCAGATGCTAGAATGCAAAGTTACAGTGTAAACATAGTCGAAGTCGAGGATTTTTGTTCTGCCTGTTGTGTGCGTTATACCAGTTTCGATGTCGTCATATATGATCGTTGCGAACTAAAATGCTCCAGAGGTATTCATGTGAGATCATAGAATACAGAGATACAGTGTGCAGACTGATGTTGTCGAAGTAACTTCACTTGCCAATTGTTCTCGTTATATGTCCCTCGGAATCGTCCTATATGGTCAGTGCGATCGAATCTGCTATAACTGTAGACATGTCAGATGCTAGAATGCAAAGTTACCCAGCAAACATTTCGATATGGGGCATCAACGGCCTGATAAATTTTTCCCATACCCGACATCAGCGGCCCAGTAAATGGTCCCATATGCGGGACTCTATATATCAGTACACTGCGGCTGGCAGCTGGTCCCAGTGCTGGGTAGCCAGCAATCATATTCAGTTCCCCGTCAAAAGGCCAGTACATCATAATCGACACATTGAGTTTCCCATAGCAAGCTCACCATATACATGAATTATGGGCCGGGATGGCCAGTTAACGACATTGTTTACATACTATCGAGGTAGGGGAGGGGTAGGGGTTTTAGGGGTCCAATAGATCTGAAAGTCCTAGTACCTCTTCATTTCATAATATAACCCTCTCATCATGAATCAGACACATACCAGATTTCAAGAAAACAATTTTATGACTGATACTATGATATCTTCTCAACCTCTCTGTGCTTCAACGATGAAACTTCTCGGAGTGACAGCATACTTGTTGGTATGTGGTATCTACATCTTATTGGGTAGCATTCCTTCAAAGTTGATTCTTCGTTGTGACGTACTTCTGATATATAGAATGCATCATTAGTTATATATTAGTGGCCATTGAGTTGCAAGAGTTTTACCTGATAATATAGACTGATGACGTGATAACATGGAGCTTTTCAATTCTCATTATATTCTTGGCACATGTGTTTCTGTAGCTGAAACCTCATTGTTATTTAGTTCTCTAATATAGAGACAGGTTCACATAACCTGAGATTGCTCCTGATAGCAACAAACGAGTTAAGAATGAAAGTTGCGTTTGGAATAAAAGTATAGCCAACTCCAATGATTATGACCATTAGGTACCTTATATGAGGTTACGAGATACCGAACACATGCATTTGATAATGAAATTCGAAACTCTATGTAGGTAGATTGATACTCACTCAATATTATTATAATTGAAGAATCCGTCTTTCATTTATATCAATTGAGAATACTCCTGCCATCATAAATAACCACCAGGGAAAAAGAGGACCACATTAATTCGACAAAAACAAACTAGTACGCGATCACCACTCACGAGCGTCAGCCATCTTAGTCCCATATGATATTGATCAGCTGATTGTTGCTGTAGACGTTCCCAGAACATCCACCAGAGGGACGAGTAGCGAACATGAAATTGGCCAGCAAAGGGCCAAATCTCGTAAGTATTCAATTAGTTCCAGACATCTTACCATCACAAGGCCATCATCGTATTTTCAACTGATGGTTACTTGGCATAGGGAGATTATCGGCCCAATACCAATACCCTGGCATCGTCACTTTTCCAGACCAGCCTGCACTAGGCCAGACTTCTCCCACTAGTTCAATGTTTGCTGGGTACAGTGTAAACATATTCGAAGTCGGAGTTTTTTGTTCTGCCTGTTGTGTGCGTTATACCAGTTCTGATGTCGTCTCATATGATCGTTGCGAACTGATATGCTCCAGAGGTATTCATGTGAGATGATGGAATACAGAGATACAGTTTGCAGACTGATGTTGTCGAAGTACCTTCACTTGCCTATTTTTCTCGTTATATGTCCTTCGAAGTCGTCTTATATGGTCAGTGCGATCGTATCTACTATTGCTGTGGGCATGTCAGATGCTAGAATGTGAAGCTACAGTATAAACATAGTCAAAGTCGAAGTTTCTTGTTCTGCCTGTTGTGTGTGTTATACCCGATTCGATGTCGTCTTATATGATCGATGCGATCTGATATGCTCCGGAGGTACTCAAGTAAGATGATTGAATACAGAGATTTAGTGTGCAGACTAATGTTGTCGAAGTATCTTCACTTGCCTATTGTTCTTGTTATATGTCCTTCGACTATATGGTCAGTGCGATCGAATATGCTATAAGTGTTGGCATGTAAGATGCTAGAATGCAAAGTAATAGTGTTAACATAGTCGAAGTCAAAGTTTCTTGTTCTGTCTGTTGTGTGCGTTATACCCGTTTTGACGTCATCTCATATGATCTTTGCGAATTGATATGCTCCAGAGGTATCCATGTGAGATGATAGATGACAGAGATACAGTGTGCAGACTGATGTTCTCGAAGTATCTTCACTTGCCCATTGTACTCGTTATATGTCCTTCGGAGTCATCTCATATGGTCAGTGCGATCGTATCTGTTATAGCTGTTGGTATGTCAGATGCAAGCATGCGAAGTAACAGTGTGAACATATTCGGAGTCGAAGTTTCTTGTTGTGCCTGTTGTGTGCGTAATACCCGCTTCGATGTCGACATATTTGATCGTTGCGAACTAATATGCCCCAGAAGTATTCATGTTCGAAAAAAAATTCCAATACCTACCTCCTGTCCCTATTCTTTCTAGGAACGCACGATGTTCCTTGAACATTATAGGGATTCCCTTTCGTGCGATAAAAAAAATGAGATGATAGAATACAGAGATACAGTGTGCAGACTGATGTTGTCGAGGTATCTTCACTTGCCAATTGTTCTAGTTATATGTCCTTCGAAGTCGTCTCATATGGTCAATGCGATCGTATCTGCTAAAGCTGTAGGCATGTCAAATGCTAAGATGCAAAGTTACAGTGTGAACATTGTCGAAGTCGAAGTTTCATGTTCTGCCTGTTGTGTGCGTTATACTCGTTTTGATGTCGTCTCATATAATCGTCGCGAACTGACATGCTACAGAGGTATCTATGTGAGATGATAGAATACTGAGATACAGTGTGCAGACTGATAATATCGAAGTATCTTCACTTGCCTATTGTTCTCATTATATGTCCTTCGAAGTCATCTCATATGGTCAGTGCGATCGTATCTACTATAGCTGTTGGCATGTCAGAGCTAGAATGCTAAGTTACAGTGTGAACATAGTCGAAGTCGAAGTTCCTTGTTCTGCCTGTTGTGTGCGTTATACTCGTTTTGATGTCGTCTCATATGATCGTTGCGAACTGATATGCTCCAGAGGTATCCAGTGAGATGATAGAATACAGAGATGCAGTGTGCAAACTGATGTTGTCCTTGTATCTTCACTTGCCTATTGTTCTCGTTATATGTTCATCTGAGTCGTCTTTCATAGTCAGTGCGATCATATCTGCTATAACTGTAGGCATTTCAGATGCTAGGATGCAAAGTTACAGTGTAAACATAGTCGAAGTCGAAGTTTCTTGTTCTGCCTGTTGTGTGCGTTATACCCGTTTTGATGTCGTCATAGAAGATCGTTGCGAACTGATATGCTCCAGAGGTATATATGTGAGATGATTAAATACAGAGATACAGTGTGCAGACTGATGTTGCCCTTGTATCTTCACTTGCCCATTGTTCTCGTTCTATGTCGTTTGGAGTCGTCCAATATGGTCAGTGCGATCGTATTTGCTGTAACTGTAGGCATGTCAGCTGCTAGAATGCAAAGTTACAGTGTGAACATAGTCGAAGTCGCAGTTTCTTGTTCTGCCTGTTGTGTGCGTTATACCCGTTTTGATGTCGTCTCATATGATCGTTGCGAATTGATATGCTCCAGAATAATTCATGTGAGATGATAGAAAACAGAGAAACAGTGTGTAGACTGATGTCGAAATATCTTCACTTGCCTATTGTTCTCGGTATATGTCCCTCGAAGTCGACTCATATGTACAGTTCGATCGTATTTGCTATTGCTGTGGGCATGGCAGATGCAAGGATACGAAGGAACAGTGTAACCATAGTCACAGTCGAAGTTTCTTGTTCTGCCTGTTGTGTGCGTTATAACCGCTCCGATGTCGTCTTATACGATCGTTGCGAACTAATATGCTCCAGGAGTTTCCATGTGAGATGATAGGAAACAGAGATACAGTGTGCAGACTGATGTAGTTGAAGTATCTCCACTTGCCTATTAATCTCTTTGAATGTTCTTCAAATTCGTCCTATATGGTCAGTGCGATCGTATCTGTTTCAACTGTAGACATGTCAGATGCTAGAATGCGAAGTTACAGTGTAAACAATGACCATATAAAACGACTTCGAAGGACATATAACGAGAACAATAGGCAAGTGAAGATACTTCGACAACATCAGGCTGCACACTGTATTTCTGTAATCTATCATCTCACATATTCACCTCTGTGGCATATCAGTTCGCAACGAACATACAACACGATATCGAAGCATGTATAACGAACACAACAGGCAGAACAGGAAACTGCGACTGTGACTATGTTTACACTGTATTTTTGCATTATAGCATCTGACAAGCCTACAGTTATGGCAGACACGATTCGAACTGACCATATGAGACGACTTCGAAGAACATATAACGAGAACATTAGGCAAGTGAAGAAACTTCGACAACATCAGTCTGCACACTGTATCTCTGTATTCTATCTACTCACATGAATACTTCTGGAGCATATCAGTTCGCAACGATCATA